TCCCTACATGGACATTTAGTTGTTTCAGCACAATCTGTTGGAAAAACTTTTTCAACTATCTTGGCATCTTTGCAAAATCAAATGACCACATGTAAGTATCTATTCCTGTACTCTGTTCTATCCTTAAATCACTCTCTCACTGTCCTAATTACTGTAGCTTTGTAGTTGAAGTCTTGAAATCAGTAGTTAAGTCCTACTTTAGTTTTTCTGACTTATTTTGCAATATGGTGAATTATAGGGATTCATTTTCTAATGCAAAACCAACCTAGCATTCTTGGGATCAACCCTCCTTAGTCTTAATGTATTATCTTTTTATACATTCTTGGATTTAACTTGTACATTGTTCAAGGTTTTCATGTCTATGTTCATGAAGAATATTTGAATTCATCCTGTTCACCTAAATTAGCAACGGTACAAAGTTACTATTTTCTTATGCTTTTGTTATCTACAGGGTTTATATTGATATCTTTATTTTATTTCTAATAGTAGTATTTTTTTTTCTTGTACAAACCACTTTTATCAATTCTGCCAATCATTTAAAAACTAGCTTTTGGCTTCATTGATTTTTCTCTCTAGGTTTAATAGCCTAACATTTCAGAAAGGCATTCATGGTTTTTCCATGTATCAACAGGTCATTCACCTTTACTGCTGAGTATTCCATAATATGGATATACTACAACTTAGCTATGAGCCTGTTGAGGGACATTTTATTTTTTCTAGCTTTTGGCTTTACAAATAAAGCTGTTAGGTACATTTGTATATAAGTCTATGGGAATAGATTTTTACTTTTCTTAGATAAGTAAGTAGAATTGGTGACTATAAGGCTACTGTATGTTTAACTTTGTAAGACAGTGCCAAACAGTTTTCCATTGTGAATTTGGATTTCTCTGATGACTAACAATGTTAAGCATCTTTTCATGTGCCTGTTAGATATGAATATCTTCTTTCTTGAAGAGTCTGTTCAAATCTCGTCAATGTTTAAAAATTGGGTCATCTTGAGTGTACAGTGCTCTTAATATTCTGAATACAATCTTTTGATAAAATATGAGAACATTCCCATTAGTAACCTTTCATTTTCTCTTTTTTTTTCTAATTTTTGCTATAGGGTGTGTGTAATCACCAGAAAGACAGAGAAAGGGAAAGTTAGAAATCATCCCCTAGGGATGACAGTCACACTGCAAACCCTTCTTCTCCATTCTCTTTTCGGGATTCTGAGTTACACATGTGCACATGCCTGGCATGATTTATCAAGATGCCAGGTCTAGGACTCGAACCACCGGGTCAATTATGTGGAATCCAGCACCTTATCTATCACCCCACCTGCCAGCCTCACTACCTTTCATGTTCTTAGCAGAACTTTGAAAATTTAAATTCAATAATAGCAATATTTTCTTTTGGTAACTGTTCTTTGTGAAATATTTGCCAACCTTAAGATCATAAAGAATTTCTCCAGTGTAGTATTCTAGAAAGTTTGGAGTTTTAAAACTTGGTCTATAATATATCTGGAATTATTTTTTGTGTATAGTGTAAAATCAAACCCTCTCCCCATACAGATAGCTAGTTATTTATTTCTAATGCACTAATTACAACTCTCATCTTTATTATTTCCTTCCTTCTAATTACTTTGGGTTTAATTTGTTCTTCCTTTTCCTAGTTTAGTAAGGTTGAAACTTAGACTATTAATTTAAAATTCTCATTCACATGCATTTACACTTACACATTTCTAAGATCCGTTTAGTTGTACCCCACAAATTTCAATATGGTGTGCTCTCATTTTCATTCAGTTCCACATACTTTCTAATTTCCTTGTGACTTCTTAACCTATTGGATTATTTAGAAGTGATATTTAGAGCCAAGTTGGTGGCATTTTCTGACAAGTTACTCTATCACTTAGGGTAATGTTGAAATCTCCAATTACAATTGTGGATTTGTTTATCTCTACTTCAGTGTGTCAGTTCTTACGTCAGGTATCTCTGTTCTGTAGTACCTCTTCCAAATACTTTTATGACTAAGATAAACTATAAGAAAGTGTTTTGTAATGTAAACTATTGCTAGAATTACCTTGCTGATTCTGGATCTAAAATCAAGGCTTCTATTGCATGAGATATCAGTAAACAGCTCTGCTGCTGTCTGGATTAATGTTAAGGTTATACATGAAATAAAGAAAAATCTACTGTAGACTTTATATTATCTGAATATTAATTGAGTCAAGATGAGGATCGTATTTGTAATGAAGGTAATCATAATGTCATCACCTCAAAAGGTCTGGGACCCTAGTTTTTCCCTTTAAAGGATATACACTGCCTATATAATCACAGTTTTCAAACACTGATCAAGAAATGGTATTTTGGAGGCTGTCTAACATGGGGAGGGGGAACCAAAGAACAGGCTCTGTAATTCAGTAATGGTAAATGTTTTTATCTGTCTTAGATATAGAGGTTGGTTGGGTTCTTTTTAAGAGTTTAAAATACACAAGCAAACAAAAATAGGTTTCACTGGTAACTTTTAAGTTAACAGAAACCAAAACAAATAAAGTAACATTCTACAGAGCTGTTATGTAACCAAGAAGTTCCTGAGCTGGGGCTCAAGGGGTCTGTCAACTCCCCTGAAATTCTATACAAACTGTGTGTGGGGGTATGCATATATGTACTTTGTAGAGGAAAAGCAGCATAGCAGTTGTGAAGTGCTTAATCAGTAAACCAAAAGGGCAAGAACTACAGATTGGTTAAGTTCTACAATGTAAAATATGGAGAACTTAAAGTTTAAAAAGAAAAGTGATGACTAAAACTATTGAAATGATCGTTAATAAAGGTGCTAGGAACTAAGGTTCTTAGCCGCAAAAAACAAAGTTGAGAAACAGAAAACTAGCCTCTGGTGGGAAAATGTGTTGTGTCATCCATTACTGCTCACATGAACATAAAGTATGCAACACTGGTAGAAGCCAGGCTCTGAGGCTGGAGGACAAAGACCATCATTGAGTCACATGTTTTTAAACTAGTTGAAATTAAAAAGTAAAATTCTTTTTTTTCAGAGAGATTTTTGCTGTAGAGTGCGTATACTTGCTGGAGAGACAGAGAGGCAGAAAGTGAGAAATCACTCCCCAGGGGGATAGTCAAGCTATAATTGCTTCTCCATTCTCCTCTTGGGATTTTGGGCATGCAAGCACACATACTCAGTGTGAATTTTAAACTGCCAGGTCTGGGACTCAAACCACGGTCGACTATGTGGGAGTCTAGCAATGTAATCATACACCATCTGCTGATCCCAAAAGTAAAATTATTCTGCTCATACTATGGTTCCAAGGGGGAAATATTAATTATGATAAATGTGTAGATTTATCTAATATCTGTTTTGTAGTTAAGCCTGTCTATAGTCTTTAGCCTACATTTAAAAGACTATGTCCAAAGAAAAAGAAAGACTGGCGCAGGCTCAGGATACAGTTCTACATTCCTCAAAGTTGCTGAGTCGGCATCAAAAGATGCTTGATAAAGATCCCCATATCGGGAGGCAAGGCTGCGAAATTCTTCCATGGACTGTTTCATCTACAAAGAAAGAAAAATATCTATTATAACAACAAATGTGCTATCATTACTGCAGAAACAACACAAAAACCAAAACATAAACTCATTTTGAAACAATGAGAAACCAAAAATAATTTGATCTCTTTTTATTGGCATTCCATTCATTTTCATTAACTTTGTTAAGATCCATAAAGATGACAAATAAAACTACATATATTTGTAAAATGATAACTTACATATGGTATATAGTAACAGAAACACCTGCATTTTAGCTTCTTTAAGCTTGACTAAGTTAATATGGTTATAAATATTTCCAAATTTTTAAAAAATTGTTTATCTTTTCTCTTCATATGAGTAGCACCCACTGAGATATTATTACTCACTTTGTAATTCTAATAACACATAAGCCTATTTTTGGGCAAGACACATGAATTAATAAGCATTTGATGCTTAATTTCTGAGTCAAATTACTGATTTGAACTGACTTTAAAGCCTTTAAAGTATAAATAAAAAGCACACTGAGAATAAAGTTCAGACATGCCTGATTAGAGATGCGACCACACCTTTGAAGGTCATTTCCTAAGGTCATGGCAATCGTTGTGGCAATTGCAGGTGGGGGGCTTGTCTTTAGGCTATTACAAGTACAGATAAGTTGAGAAAAGGCTTGTAGAAGGTCAATCCTGAGCTTTACAAATTCACACTGAAAACTTAAGGGATTCAGTGGTGTACTGGCAGCCTGGAGAAAAAAAGAGAGAGAGAGATTAAAGGCAAAGGATACATAATAGTGAGACAGAGTAGTCCAAGTACTTGTCACAGGTTGTGAACAAGTACAGTAACTCTACCACTCATAGATAAACATCTGAATTATAAAGAGAATCATGTAATACCAGAAAGGAGAGCTTAGTTATTACCGTTAGCTCTGAAAAACTATGTTCTAAGACCATTCAAAGGTTCCTTACCTCAAACATTTATGAACACCCCACAGCATGTGGGTTGGCTAGATCATCATCAAGGTATCTGAAGGGATGCTGAGGATACTGCCGTTTCCCCAACGCTATTAACACCTTTCTCATTTTCTAATCTGAAATTCCCATCACTGGAATCAGTATCTTTAACAGTTTGGATCAGAGAGAAAAAGAAAGAAAAAGGCAGGAGGACTACATTTCTAGACAGTTACAAAAAACACACTGTCTCCAGCCAGCTGGTGGAGTGGTTAAAGCAGCCAGATCCCACGTGCCCACCTGCGCAGTCCTGAATCTCACACCTGGAGGACTGCAGAGCATAGCAGGCACACATGTGTACCCAAAATCCTGAGAGGAGAAGGGATTACAGCATGGCCATCCCCCCCCCCCCCGGGGGGGGGGGCTGCTTTCTCACTTTCTGTCTCTTTCTCTCAAGTATGCATGCCCTACAGCAAAAAAAAAAAAAAAAGGCATACTGCCTCAAATCTCTTCCACTGCTAGCTCAGACTAATTTTTAAAAAGTTTCTGAGTAGACACTTACAAAGTAAAGTTTTTAACGGGGGTGGAAGAATGTCAGAGTAAGTCTTAGGTGGCACAGAGTAGCCTTAGCCAGGTACAGGGGGCAAATAAGTTTTCAGCGTGGACAGAGAACTAGAACAACTTTCAACTGTTTAGTTACTCTCCTCATGGAGAACCTAGCACGTTTTCAACAAAAGGCACATACTAGAAATAATGCTAATTTAACAACAAATGGAGGAATAATGAAATTAATTTTCCTCTATGACATGACAGTATGCTTAAACTATGCTGATGCTGTTTCTTAGATACTATTTCACATTATTCCCCCCCCTTTTTTTTTTTTAAAGTTTGCTATAGGGCAAGTGTGCTCATTGGAGACAAGGGGAAAGTGAGAAATTACCCCCTCCCCAGGGGGGATAGCCATAGCCATGCTGCAACTCCTTCTCCATTTTCCGCTTAGGATTTTGGGTGGGTTTGTACACGTGCTCTGTGTTTTACAAACTGGGTCTGAGACTCGAATTGCTCAGTTTGCCATCCAGAAGCCTTAACCTCCACACCATCTACTGGCCCATGCACACTGTTCTTTTAGTAGGAGAGCCAGACTTATAATTTGGGGATTCTAGAAGTCAGTTATAATATTACCTATCTGGCAAGTACCACGTATTGACCTTAGTGTAGTTTTCTTTACTATTAAGTGTCAAATGATAAGTATTTTTATTTGGTAGTATTCATATTTTACTATACAAAATGGTAAGCCACTCCTTGACTAGAATGTACACTTGCTCTAGAATCTCTATCAAACTGCAAGGGCCCTGGACTGGACTACTTCACATAAGGTAGAGATAGTAACTATTCAATGTATTTATTTCCGTGGTTCTCAACCTTTGGAACGTTTTGTTCTAATCATGAACTAGCATAACTTAGGATTTTATTTTTAGATTAGGATATTAAAGAGATCATTTCAATTGTTTTTAATTTCTAAGATGAAATTTGGTTTGCTCTTAAAGGAAGAAAAATTTCCCCATCTCTTTTGCCCCTTATGATGCTACTTGCTATTTTTATTTTATTGCTTCTCAGCAACTTTGAGCAGGACGGGGTATAAAAAGGTGTATAAGATACTGTTATGTAAGTACAATATGGACCATCTTACCAGGCAAAAAACAAAACAAAACAAAACACTGGCAATATTGTTCTAACATGCATTATAAAACTGAAAGAGAAGCAAGATGTAGTTATGACAAGGGAGATTTGTTGCTACTGTGGATTTATTTCTGACTAACAAGAAATATTTGATTGATAACATGAAATGATAACCTTGAAAGCATTTGTGCCATTTTGGATCATGTTATGCTGAAAGAAAGAAATGTTAAATATAATAGATACATTTAAAAAGAACATAGAGAAGATGGATTTGTAATTAAAGGTAAGAGACTTTTAAAAAAGTAATACTGTCTAAGACAGATGGGAGCTGTATAAGAAATAAAATTTAGAATATAGACATATGAATAATATACCAATGAGAAATAAAAGGGACGTATCATTGGCATTTCTTTATACTGAGGCTAAAACTTAAAAAGAGGTTGTGGTCCAGGTCAGCAGGTAAAACATGTGTAACCCAAATTACTGCTGAAAATTCCTCAGGAAAGAATTTTTTCCAGTTAGGTCAACACAGCTGGATAAAAGAATAACAAACACAGAGGAGCAGACAGAACTTTAAAGCAGAATGGTGATGTCCCAGTCACTAAACTGAGTGCTTGGATATTTGTTGTATTTTTTTCATACTCTATGTATTGTCTATGTAGATATTATACCCACTCAATATTTAATCACCAATAAAGAAAAAACGGGGGTGGGGTACAACCTTCACCATTGTAGGCACAGTCCTCAGCAGGTTCCCCTGGCTCACACCCCCTGGTGTCTATATTTTGCATAATCTCTCCAAAACTGGTCAAGACCTATAAACTTGCTTCTAACTAATGAAACACTGCAAAGGTAATGGGATTTTGAGGATTTAGTTTAGATCCCTAATGAACTGACTTTATGTTGATCAAAAAGGAGATTATTCTGGATGAATCTACCCTAATCAGATGAGCCCATTAAAAGAGGGTCTAGAAGGCACCAGATTCTCTCGCTGTCCCCGAAGAAGCAAGTTTCTGTAACTTGTACAGAGCAAGAGAATGAATTCTGCTAATAATGACATGCGCTTAGACAAGGACCCTGAGCCTCCTTGAGTCTCTGCTGAGAATGGCCCTGGCAGATATCCTGACCACGCCTTTGTGGCACCAAGAACAGAAGTCCCAGCTAAGCCATGCCTGGGCTTCTGACCCATAGGCACTGTGAAATAACAAACAGTGTTTTAAGCCACTGATTTTGTTAGCACAGAAAGCTAATACACTGTTTACAATTTTTATTCCTAAAAAGCAAAGACAATTGTACCACTAATCTCTGTATAGGGAATATTAAACACCTAATATTGCTATAGATTCCTTGTAAGCATAGGATTTCAAATTTCTGTTTAGTTTGGCTGGAGCAGGTAAAAACCATGACCCTTAGGAACTGGATAATTCATGTCAGGAAGTTAAAGGGTAACCCATGCTCATATCTAGTCAGTTAAAAAAAAAAAAAAGAAAACAGAAAAAAACAAAGCTACTGTCAACTACACTTGCCAAATGAACAGATGTTCAAAAAGATCCTTAAACACTCCTAGTAATATAGAGCAATCAGAAATGTGGGAAGCTTCTAATGGCTGAAAGGACCAGGCTGACTTCCTTTCTATTATAGACTATTATCAAATGGAAGCATTTCCTGGTTTTCCTTTAATCTGCAAAGCAGTGTCTGGTATACAGCAAGGGCTTATAATCTGTTGAATAAAAGAACTCCATTTCAAAAAGAGAAACTCTGAGGCCCAAAGTCCTACTTTGTCCAAAGTCACATTATGTTAATGACGAACCAAGACTATACAAGGGTCTCCTATCAATCAAATGCTTTCTTCCTGTCAGAATTCAGCCTTTAAATTAAAAAAGAAAATTATAAAGATCCTGCCCTTAATTACTACCAAACTCATTAAATTCACTCATCACACAAATCAAGAGCCATACGTATTCAACAGAATTTTTCATAAAACTAATTCTTTCTGCCTCACTACTTTGTAAACCTGTTTCACAGTTCTTACCATTTACTGTAGTAAATGATTAACAATTTTCTGTTCCATATAAACTAGAAAATAAAACAGTCTTCCATATCCACAGGTGAAACCAACCACAAATTAAAAAATAGTCCAAAAAAAGTACTTGATTTTGTGTGTACCTAACATGTACACACTATTTTTGTCATCACTCTCTAAACAATGAAGTTTTAACAGTTAACTATGAACATATCATTTACATTGTACTTGGTATTATTACTAATCTAGAAATAATATAAAGTACATTGATAAGATTTGTATAGGTCACATGCAAAGGCTATGCAATTTTATATAAGGAACTTACTTATCCTCAGATTTTGGTATCCACAGGGATCCATCCCATGCAGATACTACTGAAGGATAATGTAATTCTATTGATCTGAACCATTAATTGTACCTGTTAATTCTCTGAGGCATTTATAAGCCTAATATAGGCAACAACAATCTTTCCTCAGAATAATCAAGAGGAAAGAACTATGGTAGTCAGTGCTATCCTTTAACATGGAGAGGAGCCTGAATTCCTATTCTAAACAGCTATCAATCAGTCCTAGCCAAAAACAAAAACAAAAAAACTTCAAAAAAAGATGTGCCCCACAGTAGTCTGAATATTGTCTCTTGTGATATCTGTTTATTTTCTGTTCTACTTTGAAGCATTTATTTGGGGAATGGACTACCATTAAAAATATTTCAGACAGGGGCCATCAGATGACGTAGCAGTTATGTCACTGGGCTCTCATGGCTGACTGTGGTTCGAGTCCTGGACTCAGTGGCTTGAAACTTGTGCCCACCCAAAATCCTGGGAGGAGAACTGCGGTATGGCCACCTACCCTGGGGGGTCATTTTTCACTTTCCCTCTCAGTGTCCTGTCCACATCCCCTCCCACTATGAGCACATGTGCCCTAAGGCAAAAAAAAAAAACCTCTACCAAAAAAATATATATATATATATTTTGGATGTACTACAAATGTATGTAAGCAGGTAAAGTGCCAAAAGTTTTATGGCCTCTTCTCAAATACACACAATTTTAAAAGCTATATCATAATATCTACCAAAAAAAAGTTTAACATCAGTCATATATAACCTCTTTACTTTTAAGGGGAAAAAGTTCTTGCAGAACATGCTTGTTTCAGTGAACATACTCTTACTAGGAATATAACTAATTTTAAGGATATAAGAAATATTAAGAGTCTGTCCTCTCTGTAACCCTTTCATTTTCCCATTAGAGAAAATAGAAATAGTAGCTGGCTAATGTTAATTTGGAGTAGGAGAATATTGCAGAGATTAAAAAAAGTGAAGACCATAATTCTTGATAATTTTTTATCTACAAAGCAAGAAACTAGTTACTCACTTGAGTACCTGCCAGACATGACATGAGGTTGACGACAGAATTCTGACTGCTTTTATCCTATTTCCTAAGTCCTTTCCAGAGGGCCTAAAGGGAATCAGTGCCCACAAACATTAACAGACCACTTTGGCCTATTGATAAAATGACTTTTTATACATCCTGTCCCTGGCACAGTATCTTTGTGATGCATATTAAGTCTCTTTATCTCTGTTAAAAACATTTTTTTGCTAATCTTGGTAGATTTTCCTTTAGCAATCACCAACCTAAAAACTATAAAACCACCTATAACCTGCAAGTCCCCTCTTCCAGATGTCCTACATTTTTGAACTAGATCAAATTCCAAACTTTGTCTCTCACTCTCAAAACCAAATAAAAGGAAGTCCCATATCTGAACACACTGAGGAAACACATTTGCCTTTCTGTGGGCCAGTCACTCATATTTGTGTTTAGAATAAACTGCACTTATCATTCTCACAGAGTTGGATATTTCTGTAGACAAGGTCAAGGGTTTAGGTTTGATGGTGGTACTGACTCAAGCTGGAGTACAGGAGTCTAGAAGGAAGTTTCTAAACCACTCATCTTTTCTGCATGGATTCAGCAATTCTTCTGTATGATATACCCAGTACTATGTAAAAACAAAACAATACACTTTCATCAATCTGTGAATGTTAAAAAGGGAGAACAGTAAGGGGTTTGTTTCAGTGACCTATTTATCATGTTGATATTGCCACATTAGCAGGTTTCTCTAAGTAGTTAAAATAGGGTAACCCAAAAAGAGAAGGGAAAGAATTCTCACATCATCATCACCAAAGGAGAATTAAGAGGACTTACTGTTAAGGAAGCAATCCCTTTGTGGTAGAATTTTAACGACTCAGCAATGCAAGAAAGTGCTGAACTATAATTCTCCTCTTGCAAGCCAGTGAGACACTGTTCTGCATGTGAGAACTCCTTCAAACTATTCAGCCAGAAGTAGAAGTGTTCTGAGGCAACCTGAGTCAGCAGGCTCTGATAAAGCTCTCTGGCCATGTCATGATTACCCTTTAAAAAGAAAAAAAAAAAAGAGAAAGAAATCGAAGGGGCATATGGTGAGCTTCTTACGTCAGAGAATTGATGTAGCAGCTAAAAGGCAAACCTGAACCTTGGGTAAGTCTGAACAATCACTCCTCATATTATATAATTCTTTGAGAGTCAGTCTAAATATTTCCTCAGATAAAATATGATGAGTTGCTTTTACGTAATATAAAGTTTTTTTTTTTTTTTTTTACTAAAACAGCTCCAAAGAGAAAATAGATGAAATAAAATTTAGAATTTTAGTTCAAAATACAGAATGTTATAAATACATACAGCATGCCATGCTGGATGAGCTATTCAGTGGGATGAAGATTCCCAAGGGTGAGGGACGGGAATTTGTTGTTAGGAGGAATGCACTAAATGCCACTTAATACCTGGAGGCCAGGGATGTCAGGCAACGCTGGAATACTTGGGATAGTTCAGTACAACCAAGAGCTGTTCAGTCAATACTGCACCCACCCCCACTATTTGAGAAACAATATGTGTAACTGAGAACATGTGTTTTAAACACCTGGAGTTAATGCTTCTGAAACTTTTTTCTTTGGACTTATTTCCAGAAGATTTCTACACTAACCTAGCCCTGTATTTCCTCTCATAAAATTAATAAAATCTATTAGGCTTTCCACCTGGCTGAGAAGGATATAACGTACTAAAATTTTCTTTTGTTTCTACTCTAGAATGGTAAGGTTGAGTAGAGACAGGAAGGAAAGACAGGGTGCACTGAAAATGGAGGAAAGACAAAAGTGTGTAGTGGCCTTGGTTATGACAGTATACAGCAAAACAAAAGTGGCACTAAAAGCCTACATCAGATTTTAACTTCTTCAGGACACTCATATTCATCAATTCTTTTACTATAGAAGTCACAAATTAGGACCTTTCCCTCATCATCTTTTAAACCCATAACTAAATAGTTCTTCCACCTGTATTTATAATTCTGACTATGACTAATTATCACAATGGAAGGTGTATAACCTGACATTTCTACTGAACCATTTGCTTAGAAAGGTAATACATACCATTCTGGAGGCCTGCCTGGCAATTCGGTATACAGTCCATCCATTGGAAACACTTTCTAGTTGCTGTTTAATTATTGCCTTCACTTCAGCAGATAAGGCTTTCTGACTGGCTACAAAAATCACAGTAGCCAAGCTCACCTAACATTAAAAAGAAAAAAAATCATGAAAATCATGTAATTTTATTCAATGTCATAGGTAAACTACACAAAATGGAAAGAACTATAATAATTAGAGCCCATTGAAAAAAATTATTTTCCAGTAACATTTAATTTTTTATAATGAAGTCATTAAGCAATTTATTCCACTGACACAGAGTACCATGTATAACAGCAAGCAGCTAAAAACAATGACTATATATACGAATAGATTATATTATTTATAATCACACAATAAGATACCATACATCAGTGAAATGGATAAACTGGAGATACTTGTAATATTGATGATGAGCAAAATAAGCAAAATTCAAAAGATTACATGTAGTATGATATGCCAAATTAATACTGCATACAATTTAGGGATTTATACTCAGATAGTAAAAGTTTAATATGCATGGGAATGACAAATACCAAATTAAGATACCTCTAGGAGAGAGGCAGATGCTATCAAGCAGGTACACAGGGGGCTTTAATAGTATCAATAATGCTTTTTTCTTAATCTAGGTGATGAATGTAAGAGTTTTCATTGTATTCCTCCCTCATTTTTTTTTTTAAAGGTTTTAGTCATAGGGCACATGTACTTCCCAGAGAGAGACAGTGAGAGGAAAAGTGAGAAATCACCCCCTAGGGGGAATGGCCACCCGCAATCCCTTCTCCTTTATTCCCCTCCCGGAATTTTGGGGATACACACACACACACAGACGCCAAGCACATGTGATCCTCAAGCAGCTGGGTCCAGCACTCAAACTCTAGTCGATCATGTGGGAGTCCAGTGCCTTAACCACCATGACACCTGCTGGTCCCAGTCCCTGAACTTTTAAAATATTGCATTCCATAATTTAAATTGCTTTAATGTATATTATTAACAATAACATTAAAAAAAAAAGCATCAGTTCAAAATGCCACTTAATTTTTTTTCTTTTTTTGAGAGTTTTTTTTGCTATAGGGTGAGTGCACTCACCAGAAAGAGAAAAACAGAAAGCAAGAAATACCCCGCCAGGGGGATGGCCAAGCCGCAATCCCTTCTCCTCCATTCTCCTCTCGGGATCTTAGGCATGCACGCACACGTGCCCAGCATGAGTTTAAGCCACTGGGTCCAGGACTCAAACTGAGGTCGACTACGTGGGAGTCCAGAGACATAGCCATTATGCTAACTGCTGGTCCCGACAAAAGCAAAAATAAAAAGCTCATAGTAACAATTAAAAAAAATTATTATTTTTTTCCAATAGCAAGAGACATCATCCCAAACAGGATGCATAACCACTAGGGTCTTGACATGCAATCTATCCCTAGCCTTCAGCCAGCTCCACATCATAGGTACACATGTGCTTGGTGTACTCAGAGAGGTCTCTGGACTTGAACCAGAAACCTTACCATGTGGGTGTGCCCTGCAGAGCACCGCATTTCACCACTGCACCACCTGTGGTCCCAATTCTACTTTAACTTCAGCATGCTCTTGGCCTAACATAATTCCTTTAACCTCTTATTAGCTTGTTTAGCCTTTTAAGTAAAGTCAAACAAGACCGGATCCTCCTAGTCATCCATAGAAGTTTCAAAAGTGGTTCTTTACCAGAAGCTCTTGTTGCTTGTCAGTGGCTGATCGTCCTATCACCTTGTAGAGCTCCATGAGGTCACCAAGCATTCCATCACCCAGCACTGGCAGCTGCATGGCAATGGCTGCCAGGCAGTGGCACATCAAGATCCGGGCAGCGTCCTGAGCACTGTGCAACTGAGTCAACAAGGTCTCCACCACTGACTGGCTAAGATGAGGTCTGCCCTTGGCCAATTTCACCATACAGTTTAGAGCAATCTGCACACCAGGAAGAAAATGGGCTGGTTACATTCCAAAAATACTAAGTAAAGCTTTTAAAAAAACTTTGTACAAGTTACTGGATACAACCAAGGGCAAGGTTTCTGTAGGTTTTTACTTCTTAAGAAACACTTGATATACTAAATCCAAGCAAATCAGGACTGTATATCAACCACTCTCAAAGGGATGATGTTGAAGAGGCAAATAAATGCCAAACTAAATGCACTATTATTATACTTTCATTACTTTTCAAGAACTGGTTTTATTTATTTATTTATTTTTTTTTTGAGAGGTTTTTGCTATAGGGCACGTGCACTCGCCAGACGGAGAGAGACAGAAAGCGAGAAATCACCCCCCAGGAGGGATGGCCATGCTGCAATCCCTTCTCCTCCATTCTCCTCTCGGGATCTTGAGCACGCACACACGCACATGCGCTTGGCATGAATTTTAAGCCACCGGGTCCGGGACGCGAACCGTGGTCGACTACGTGGGAGTCCAGCGACAACCATTACGCTAACTGCTGGTCCCAAGAATTGCTTTTGAAATGTGGTTTGTAAACCTTCTATGTTGGCATCTCCCAGGATAATAAAAATATAAATTCCTAGATTGCACCAATCCCAAACTTAGTCAATGTGTTTCCGGCATTGTGCTTATTGAGAGGTTATAGTTATTTAAAAAAGAATTATTAATTTAATTTATTATTACTTTTAAATTTGCTATAGGGCAAACGCTCTCACCAGAGAGAGACAGAGACAGAGAGTGAGAAAGTGACAAAGAACGCCGCCAGGTCCAAGACACAAAAACAGTCACCAAGTGGGAGTCCAGAACCCTAATCATGCCACCTGCTGGACCCAGAGAGGTTATAGTTTTAAGATGTCCTCGTTGGTTCCAAGCATACTGCAGTGGGGAGAGGCTTCCAATTTTTAAAAAAAATTTTTTTTGTAATAGAGATACAGAGAGAGAGAGAGAAAGAGAGCAAGCGAGCAAGCTGGTCCAGGACTTAAACTGTAGTCGGCCACATGGAAGTCCAGTGCCTTTAAATACCATGCCACCTGCTAGCCCCGAAATTTTTAAATTTTATTTCTCAACTACAATCTCAAAACTGACTGGCTTTAGAGCTTCTCCTACACAGGCCGTTAATGGCACCACTATGTCAGTCAATAACTCAGTCAATAAAACCAGAAACTCACAAGTCCTCCCACTTTTACACAGCCAAGTTTCTTTTACAAAGTCCCTAATATCCATCTTTAGCTCCTTTCCAGTCCTTCACATAAATGCCAACATCCTACTCTAGATGAGAAGTTCCTCTAACACAGGGACCCTTCTTGATCCTTTACATATATTCCACTGTGTTAAGTCAAGTGTTTAACATCTAAAACTTTGAACAAAAGATTTGTTTTTACATTAAAAAAAAAAAAAAAACCCAAACCAAACTTTTAAATATACTGTGGTTCCAAGAGGATTCTGAGAATTCCCCTCAGAATGTGTCACCAAACATGTTGCCTATTCCTTTTCTCTACCTACTGACTCACACCTTTAATTTAATGGAATTCTTATCTTAATTGTTCATCACTATATCTACATCACATTATAACATGCTAAAATGAGTCATGACTTCTTCTAACCAGACCTTAGTCAAGCTAAAGTTCTTACATTTTACAGTGTCTACCTAACACTTTCTATCAACTATGATTTTCTTTATCAATTCATATCATCACAAATTACATTTCATGTTTCTCTTCAATAAGAGCAGTCTCATTTCATAGTTTAAAAATCTTGGGCCAGTTCTGTGGTTTAGTGGTTAAGGAAGTCAGATTTGAACTGGCTGACCATAGTTCAAATTCTAGCCCTGGTAGCTTGAAACACAAGCTGGGCACTTGTACATACATGTCCTAAATCCTAACATAATGGAGAAAAAGAGAAGAAAGAAGTGTGGTATGACACATCCCACTGTGGGGAGGAACGGATGCTTTCTCCCACCCCTTTTTGGAGGGTACATGCACCATCTGGCAATAAAAATAAACAAAATAAATTTCTGTAATTAAGTAAAAGTGAAAATTCTTTACAATAATGGTTGTCAGAAAAGTTACGATACATTTTGCATAGAAAAATGTGTTGTGATTTTTCCGACAACCCAGTGCGCTTCCCTTGATATTTAATTTATTTTTTTAAGGCTTTTGCTGCCGAAGATATAGAGAAAGACATGGTGAGAAGCAAAGTAAGAAACATCCCCCTTCACCCCCAGGGGATGGCCACATAGCAATCCTTTTTCCATCAATCTCCTCCTAGAACTTGGGGCAGACATGCACTAGTGCTCAGTGTGCTTATTAAGCCATCAGATACGGGACTCAAACTGCAGACAGCCATGTCAGAGTCCAGTACCTTAACCACCATGCCACCTGCTAGCCCCAACTTTTAATTATTTTTAAAAGTCTTATTTTATTTCAAATTGCCAGAGGGTGCATGTGGTCACCAGAAAGAGACAGAGAGTGGGGGAAAAAAAGGGAGAGGAAGGAAGGAAGAGGCTGTGTGGGAGAGAGTAACCCCCCATGGGGTATGATCAGGCCACAATCGCTTTTCCTCTATTTCTCCAACCTGTTTGGATACTGGGCATGCATATATATACACCTGACATGTTTTTCAAGCCACTGTGGACAGAATTTGAACCACGTGGTCAGCCGTGTGGGATCTGGCTCCCTTAATCACTAAGCAACTGGGCTAGCCTTTCTCTTCACTTACTATACTTGGGTAATGAATGGACACATATATTTATGGGTCTGGCTGCAATTATTTCCTTTTTTTTGAGAGATTTTCACTGTAGGGCGCGTGCGCTCGCCAGACAGACAGAGAGAGACATAGAGACAGAAAGCGAGAAATCACCCCCCAGGGGGGATGGTCACGCCGCAATCCCTTCTCCTCCATTCTCCTCTCGGGATCTTGGGCATGCACGCACATGCACCCGGCGTGAGTTTTAAGCCACCGGGTCCGGGACACGAACCGCGGTCGACTACGTGGGAGTCCAGCGACATAGCCATTACGCCAACTGCTGGTTCCCATTATTTCCTTTTTTGAAGTCTCATTAGTGTTCCTTAAATTAACACTTCTAAGTTTAACTTTGCTTTATATAGACTAGGACTATCATATATATCTATTACAACTTACTGAATACTGTTAGCTGATAGCAAAATGGATCAAAGTTCAAATTCTTTGTCTACCTTTTAAAACAGTTCCAGTCAAAAAGCCAGTTTTCAAACTGAAGGTAGAGGGCAACTGTCTCTTTAAGCCAGAGGTTGCCCAAGGGCCAAATCTTGCCCTATTTTTTTATAAATAAAATTTCATTGGAAAACAGACATACCCGTTCACACCTTAAACATAAATGGCTCTTTTACCCTACAATTGCAGAAGAGAAGCTGTGACAGAGTGTAAAGCCTGCAAAACTTAAATATTTACTATCTGATCCTTTACAGAAAGACTGCCAATCCTTAGTGTAAGCAAACAGATATTGTATTAAAATAAGTGATATTCTCACCTTTAAAGTAGCTTGAGCGCCTAGACTATCATCTTGACTACAAAGTACCAGGAGGGATTCCAGGCCAAACACAGCATCCTGTTCCAGTGCTAAAAGATCTATAAGAAAAATGCTAAGTTGTATGGTGGTCAGGTAAAGGGGATTCAATACAGAAACACACACACACACACATCCTTAAAGTAAAAATGTTGAGGAGTCTATACATAGGACACATTTAAATGTATAACGCTAACCTTCCTTGAAAAAGTACATGTGATAGTACTTCTGAAATATAAAGGCTATATTAGACTTATTTCCACTACTCTATTGATTACAAAAATATACACATCAAATCAAGAGCAAAAGTCACAAAACTATAAAAAAAAAAGCACAGCTGAAATAGTGTCACTAGCTAAGCTAAGGAAAATACTAAGAACAGCAAACTATGCAATATATATTAATATTCCTCTCCAGATATATTACACAGGCCTTTTTTACTTAGAATATAACAGTTTTCAGCTTTTAATGGAAGTAATGAAGATCCTATATAGTTTTATTAACATTTTAAGTGTGCCTATAAAGAATAAACTCCTTCAATGTCTCATGTTAGAGCATCTTTTCAATGGTGTAGGGTTCAAATTTCCCTGGAGGTTCTAGAAAGTTCTGAATGCATTAGTCAAATGTATTTAGGTTAATATATGTCAATTTTGAGAACACACAACAGTCTTGTGCTACGTGACAGAAAATACTCTTTTCTATGCCAAAAATAAGACAGGTTTAATTATTTAAATCAGAATCAGTATGTAATTCAAATAATTATTTCCTGATTTAGTGTAGGAGCGTGGCGAACAGTATAAAGGCTAGTGAAGATCAGGTGCTAGAAAAAATAAGTTATGAAGAATAAGCAATGCCTAAGGCTAGTGGAAATAAGTGGGACTGGTGCCCTTGTAATCTTTAATAAAGATCAAAGTGTGTACCAAAACAGATGGAATGTCCACATGCATTTCCTGTTCTTGAACACAGACATGACGTTTTTCAAGTCTTTAGGTCAAAAGATGTTAGAAACGCAATAGAATATGTGTGTTATTTCCTTTGGATGTGTTCCTTTATTATCCAAAACAGTTTAATGCTATACATACATATAGAGAGAAATTCTGTGAAAATTTAGTTCACATTGCTCTGTTAATTCATTTGCCTCTAGGTCAACCTACTTGTTTAAACTCCTTGATAACTTAAGAGAATTTCCTAGATTTTTGTGTGAGAACACTGCCTCAAAACACAGGGGTACAGTCCTAAGCAATTCCTACTCACAGCACAACACACACAAAGATAAACAGTGGGAGGAAATGGGCCATGTTCCACAAAGCCTTTCAATTCCACAGTCCTCAGGCCTTATGTTTTTATTATTTTTCATATGGATTAAGCAGCCTTGAGAAGGCTATTCAAAGAATACTTCAGAAGGAGGCACTCTGTAGATCAATGCGGACAGACTAAAAATAGTAAGAGATTGAAAAACCAAACACAAAATTCTGTCTAAGCTCCAACCTCAAATTTACATATAACATCAGCCCTGATCAAACTTACCTTTTTCTTGACAAGAGACAGTTATATTAGTTAAGACTCTCACTCCATGAGCAGCAATGCCTCTGTTACTATGGTAACAGCACTCTTGGGCTAATTTGACTAAATCTGAGGACCTGGGGGTAGAACCCACATTTCCTAAATGAGCAGAGAAAAATAGTACAGATTATAATTCATTCAAGGAGCTCAAAGGCAGTTCAGCATGTAGGTTCAATTTTCTTAATTTTATGAGAAGATCTCTAACAATAAACTGTAATAATACCTCTACCTAGATTCCACAATCAATATATGTCACCATTTCTCTTTTCCCTGTCAAGGCACTTAAAATATAGATGTAATAACAGTTTTATAATGACTAATATCTGAAATCAATAGCAGTATATCCATAAAAAATTAATAAAAATTGACTAAAAAACAGTGTAGGTCTAGCAGAGAGCACAGTGGTTAAGGTGCTGGACTCCCACATGGCCCCCCATGGTTTGAGCCCCAGACTTGGTGGTTTGAGTATCATGCCAGGCACATGTGTGTGCATGCCTAAAATCCCAGGAGGAGAATGAAGAAGGGACAACAGCACGGTCATCCCCACAGGGGGTGACTTCTCACTTTCCCTCTATCTCTCTCTGGCCAAAGCATGTACCCTATGGCAAAAACCTTAATAAACAACAAAAAAAGGGGAAACCAAAACAACTATAGACTGTGTCCTGGGAGTTCAAATGGATTCTCTTTAAAACAAGCATCATTACAGATAAAAAACAATACCTTTAAGAGAGGAAAGAAATTTTAACTTTCCATTTCCCCACTTCATTCTTACAATATATTTATACCTCAAAAAGTTTACATAAGAATGAAAAATTTTAAAGTACCAGCAAATGACATAATGGTTACATCACTGGACTCCCATGTAGTTGACCGTGGTTCAAGTCCCGGACCGGGCGGCTTAAAACTTATGCTGGGAAAGTGTGCATGTGTGCCAAAAATTCCAAGAGGAGACTGGAGAAGAAGGGACTGAGGCATGGCCATCCCTTTGCTTTCTGTCTCTGTCTCTCTGGTGAGTGCTTGCACCCTACAGGAAAAACCTCTGGGTGTTGATTGCACCCAAAAGGAAAAAAAAAAAACTCTTCTTAAAAAAAAAAAAAGCAGGATTTAGAGTTGGAAAAGATTCTGGTACTTTCTGATTCAGCATCCTATCCTTTTAAAAGAATTATTTATTTATCATTATTATGATTTTTAAAAATTTGCTACAGGGCGGAACCAGCAGTTAGCATAATGGCTATGTCACTGTACTCCCATGTAGTTGATCACGGTTCGAGTTCCAGCCCTATAGCAACAACCTCTCCAAAAAAAAAAAATATATATATATATATTTTTTTTTTTTGCTACAGGGCATGTACACTTACCAGAGAAACAGAAAGAAAAAGGGAGAAAGTTAGAAAGCACACTGCCAGGTCTGGGACTCAAACCAGTCAGTCATGTGGGAGTCCAGTGCCTTAACCACCACACCATTTGCTTACCCCAATCAGCATCCTATTTTTACAGAAGTAATCAAAATCCCAATCCCAACATTTTAAGTATCTTGCCACCAAGACCATAAAACTTGTTAATCATGCACTATTTTTATGCTTTATACCTCAAATTCTATGCAAAAGTTACAATCACTTCTAAAATTCACACTTAAAATTCAGTAACATAAGGCTTTCATTGTGAATAGCTTAATGTATAGTACAAAAACTCTCAGTTATAAGTGAGTGAGTTTGGGCTCACATACACACACGGTGGGCAAGTGTTTCAAGCTGCTGAGTCCATGTGGGATCCAGACACTTTCACCACTATGCCAGAGGCTGGCCCCATCTATTCTTTTTAATAAACTGCATTGATTTCTATTGCAGTGATGTATCATAATTTCTTTAATAATCTCCTATTGATGGATCTTTGCTATGACATCCTCTATTGATGGACAGTATTTTGCTATTACATAGGATGATGCTATGAACAATTATGTATATATGTCATTTCTCAATGTAGGAATATATAATTGGGAGAAATTACTGGAGTGAAATTTCTGAGTAATCTATAATTTAATGAGTATTTCCAAATTGCCTGCGCAGAGGTTTAATAATTTACACTCATGCCAGCAATAATAAACAAGAATTGCTTTTTATCCCAACCTAGTTGACACAGTATGTTATCAAACTTCTAAATCTTTCCCAATCTGACAGATTAAATTATTTCAGTGTTGTTTTAATTTGCATTTTCTTAGGTATGTGTGATACTGAACACCTCAGATGCTTAAGAATCATTTATTAGTGCTACTTCAGACATACTAAGCTTGTTTTATAAACTACTTCTGTTTATACTGAAAAAAATTCTGATCAGTAAAAACATACTTAAACATGTCCTATTATGTATGAAGATTATGCAACTTGGCAAAATCTTTGGCTTTTATTTCTTATAACTATTACCCAGTCTAGTTATTTAAGGCTTTTCCTAAATTCCATATATAAACTACAATTTAACAAACCTACACAAGACAAACAAATATCTAACTTGAAAAATAATTCATTGAAAGCACACTGGATATATGGTAGACTGTTTATTAAGAAAGGTTATGACATGGGAACCAGCAGTTAGCGTCATGGCTATGTCGCTGGACTCCCATGTAGTCGACCGCGATTCGTGTCCCGGACCCGGTGGCTTAGAACTCACGCCGGGCGCGTGTGCGTGCGTGCCCAAGATCCCAAGAGGAGAATGGAGGAGAAGGGACTGTGGCGTGACCATCCCCCCTGGGGAGTGATTTCTCGCTTTCTGTCTCTATGTCTCTCTCTGTCTGTCTGGCGAGCACATGTGCCCTACAGCAAAAACCTCTCCAAAAAAAAAAAAAAAAGGCTAAGACAGTCTCTTCCATCCCTTGTATGCAAGCTCCTTTGCCATGTGATTTCTCATTCCTCCAATTAAGAGGTGCTTGTTTTCACCTAGCTGGGTTTAGTCATGTGATATGCTTTAGGCAATAAGAAAATAAAAACATGATGTGAATAAAAGACTGCAAAGTGTTTCTGTGTCAGTGGCTTGCTTTCTTTTGGCTGCTCTTTCCCACATGGCTGACTCTGAGGTTCAAGTGCCTGGCAGCTTGAACACACCAGGTGAGTCTGCATGTGATTAAAATCCTGAGAGAAGAACAGAGGATTTCTCACCTTCCCTCAGTCTCTGTCTTTCTCCCAGGACCAAAACAACAACAACAACAACAAAAACCCAGCCAAACAAACCAAAACACTGTAGCCTTAAGTCTGTGAAACAGGCAAGCTCCTTACTAGGCGTTAATGAGGGCATTTTGTAGTTCATCATCTCTGAATAAGCAACCAGGAAAGCAGTATTGAACGAGGGTGAAGTTTTATTTTCACCATTTTCCAGAAAGAAAATATACACTTAGAAGGGAAGCATATGACATTTGCTTTTAAAATTGACAACCACTTGACCTTTGAAATGTACTTAATTTCAAAGGACACGCTGAGTCAGAAATATATGAAAGCAAACTAACTATATTAAGCATCCTCAAAAATACTGTTTCATTCACAAATAAATAAAAGAGAGACAAATCTAGAAAAATAGTACCTTTGAGTTAAGATCAAGGGTGCAATATTTTATTACTATAGTGCAATAATTAAGAAATCATTCAAAAAAAATGACTAGCATACAAAGTAGTATGAGAATGAAACCAACCCTGATTTTAAAGTTTTATAGAGAATGTAATTAGAAACATAAACGTGGAAAAAGAATTAGCACGCTATTCATATAGCATTTCCGTTCTCATACCTGGAACTACACTGAAGTAATGTTTGATCGCAATGGTCCCTGAAAGCGTGGAAAGGACAGACAACATCCCCAGTTTTAAGCTGTCATAAGGAGTCTGGAGGGCACATTCACAGAGTGCCTAAAAGGCAAAATGGAAATAAATGCAGAAGTTAAAATATAAATTTACTTCTAAATTGTCTATTTCATTAAGATTTTCTTGCTTTTAGAAAAATTATACATTAAGGCCTTTTCTTCCATGTCAAAAAACTTAAGTCAAACTGCCAAACTCCTGAGGAGCCTAAGTAGACATGATAACTAAATGTACTGTGGTATCCTGGAACAAGGAAAAGACACAAGGTAAAAACTAAAGAAATGTGAAGTATAAACTTTGGTTAATAATAAATAATGTATCAATACTGCTTCATTAATAACAAATGTACTGTATTAATGTAAAATGTCAACCACTGGGGAAATGGTGTAGAGTATGGAGGACTCTGTGTTATCTTTTCAATTTTCTGTAAACATAAATAATTCTAAAACCTTGACCATATTTTGCTTACTTAAGAGAGAGAAATGTATGTGTACTGAAAATAAAGAATGAATCCTTCTGTGCAGTGTACCACTCAGTAGAGCCATCCTTCTACCATTTCTAGTCATCTACTCTACTCATGAGTAAGGCAGTGTGAGGTATTACCAAAAACAAGACGATCATTTTTCTTAAAATGTAGTGAACTATGACTACATCCTCAAAGTACAACGAATTCTTGCCTCATCCTGTCTCGCATAACTCTGTAGTCTATGACTGTAAGTAATATAAATAGTCAAATAACTTTACTGTTAAATTAAGCTCATTTCCATTCTCTCAGAAAGACAAAGATTCAGTAAATGAACACAATTTAAAGTTAGGGGAAAATTAAAAATAAAATTTCAGGAAGATTAAACAGTTTAATAAATTTAACGTTATCACAATAAAAATATCAACAAAAGTTTAAGTTAATCTATATAATCTGATCCTAAAGACCACACAGAAAAAAAAATTTTTTTGAGAGATTTTTGCCATAGGGCATGTGTGCTTGCCAGAGAGAGAGAGAGAGAGAGAGAGAGAGAGAGAAAGAGAGAGAGAAAGAGAGAGAGAGAGACAGAAAGTGAAAAATCACTTCCCAGGGAGGATAGCCACACTGCAATCCCCTCTCCTCTAGTCTCCTCTTGGGATTTTGGGCATGCACACACACGTGCTCAGTATGAGCATTTAAGCCACCAGGTCCAGGACTTGAACTGCAGGAGACTACGTGGGAGTCCAGCAATGTAACCATTATACCATCTGTTGGTCCCACACAGAAAAAGTTTTTAAACATTCAGAAAAATTGTCACAAGGAATGGATTCAAATATATATTAGAACTTAATATATGATAATGGCATTTCAAAACAGAGAAATCATTCAATAATCACTGCAAGGACAACTGACCAGTCACCTGAACAAAATAAAAAAGTATACCTGGTTTATTTCTTTATGCTAAATAAAAAAATAAAACAATAAAAAATACTAAGAGTTACTAGAAAAACAAAAAGTAAAAGATAATTGACAAATCAAAAAAAATTCACATCATGCAAAAAATTTTAAAAAGGGCCAATATGCTCAGTTCATAGCATAGTGATTAAATGCTATGGAGAGAACTATATCCCACATGGCTGACTGTAGTTCTATACCAGCCCTAGTGGCTTGAAGAACACAAGTATGTGTGCACACACACTTCTATGTACCTGTGATTCTGGAGGCGAGGAATGGAGGAAAAATGACTGCAGTATAACCAGGCCCCAGCGGTGCTTTCTCTCTAGCATATACATGTGCTCTCTGACATTAAATAATAAAGGACAATAACCTTAATATATAAAAAATTCTTACTAATAGGTAAAAGCTCAATAAAAACTGTTAACAAAAATATACAAATGTCTTTTAAAAAAGATGTTTAACCTTATTTGCAATTTGAAAAATTTAAAGTGTCACTTTTCAACTTAGATTGGCCAAGGTTAAAGTTTGATAACATGTTAACACTGAAGAGTATGGGGAAATTGGTGCTTTCACACATAAATAGAAAGATAAAACGGTGTATACCTCTTTGGTGAGTAATTGGCATAAACGTTCTTCCTCTTCTGGAAATGTATGTTCATAAAGGTGATTTTTATAAACTACTCAATGTATCAACAATAACAGTAAAAGCATTGGAAACAACTCTAATGCCCATCAGTGGAGGACTGGGAATATAAAGGGAGCCCCACACAGTTGCTAAAAGAATATAGTAGATTTATCTCCTAATATGAAATGTTCCCCTAGACATATTGCCATGTGGCAAAAAGTTTAGAACATGTATATAGTTTATTTTCATTTGTATGGACAAAAAGATGGGCCATACATGGAAATGGATGAAATATTTAGGAAGGATACATAAGAAAATAGTAACAATGATCACCTCTGCAGAGGAAACCTATGGGAAGAGATAAAGAAGACTTACATTTCACTCACTGTGTACCTCTGAACTCAAGGAATTTCTTATCACATACATTCACACTTTTTAACTAAAAGAAAAATCCAGCAGCAGTAGCAAATATTATTATGGAAGCAATGGAAACAGATCTAAAAGATACAGTATGCTTCTAGTACTCTAGAAGGAAGACAGTGTAGGCAATATAAAGAAGAACTCTGGCAGTTAGGCCAGAATATGGAGTGTTTTCTTGTGGCCTACAGGAGACATGATCTAAAGGTGTAGAAGCTAAGTGAAATAGAAAGGATTAAGTCAGATTATGCAGGGCCCTGAAAGTTAGGTAGAATAATTTAAACTTGAAGAAAAAGGAAAAGAAAGCTACAGAAAGACATACTGGTATCTAAAGTCTTTGGGAAAATTATTCTGGTAATGGTAAACAAAACAAATTAATAAGAGCATGTGAGAGTTATGGAGGCCAACCTACACAGCCTATGGCACTGATTGAGGCACTTAGTTTAGATGGCCTGATGAATGGACAAGAGCCTGATGGTGGGGAAAAAGAATACAAGGTGAATGTGAAACTTTTTGGAAGGCGTTATATATGAGGGGATGAACAAAAGGGATTCAATAACTATTAGAAAATTTCAAACCTAGTAACCAAATAATGTTGATTCCATTTATGAAAACTGAGAATTTATGGGAATAAGCCAATTTTACAGGAAGGACAGAAAGTTGGAGGAGATGTGAAGTCCAAGAAGAAATATTCACCAGGCATTTCAGATCTAAGACATAGCAGACTTTTAACTGAATTCTGAGTCTTCACATCAGAATTCTGGCTCTGCCATTTATCATCTCTTTGATCTGAGCCAATTACTGAAATCTTTGAGGCTCAACTTCTTTGTCTGTAAAATGGGGGCAATTATTTATAAAGAATCGCTGACTTTTATATAAAACATCTATACAAGAAATTATAGACACTGGTTGCCACTGGGCAAAGGAGGTGTACCAATGGCAGAACAGTAGATGGGAAAGTTTCAGTATATATCCTTTTGTGGCTTTGGAATTCTGACAACATGAATGTTGGCATTCAAAAGAAAAGCTGGATTGAAATTAAAAATAAAAGTGAGGTGACATCTACTCTCTGTAAGATTAAATATTCACTGAAAGTCAAAGCACTTTGCAAATGATACAAGCTACCACGCTCAGAGTGTAATGCAGAAGCTCAGTGTAAAAGGACTGGATTGCTGGAGGCTCCACATACTGCACCAAGTAAAGCCACCCCAATGATAGAGAATTAATAGAAGAAAGCATAGGGTCAAGGACTCAGGGAAAAAGGGATGTAGAAAACAGAAGGTACAGTTTAGCAAGTGGAAAGAACAAGTGAGGATAGCTAAATGCTGAACAGGTCAAGAGAAGAGGTAGGTTGGTAGTGTCACTATATTAAGAAGAACAGTTAGAAAAACTGGCTTTAGCATTAACACTGATGACCTTATAAGTGTCTAAGCAAAGTGCTAGGGAACCAGATTTAAATGTAAGTATATGGAGAGACTAGGGAATGAAGAAATAAAAGCAGATACTGATGTTGCTTTCCACGTTCAAAAGAAAGTATTTTTAAAAAAGTGATCACTAGTTAATACTACAGTTTTAATTTATTTATTCAAATGCTCATTTTTTACTACCTAAATCATCCTGCTTTAGGGACCAGCAGTTGGCATAATGGCTATGTCACTGGACTTCCATGTAGTCAACTGCAGCTCAAGTCCCAGACCCAGTGGCTCAAACTTATGCCAGGCACGTGTGTATGTGTGCCCAAGGTCCCGAGAGGAGAGGGGAGGAGAAGGGATTGCGGCATGCCCATCCCTCCTAGGAGGTGATTTCTCACTTTCTGTCTCTCAGTCTCTCTTGTCTTTTTGGCGAGTACACGTGCCCTATAGCAAAAACTTCTCCAAAAAAAGAAACTAAATCATCCTGTTTTAAACTGTTACTTAGATTATGTTTAGAACTAATATCCTCAAATAAAGAGCCCTAGAGGTTAAGGACTATGTCCCATATGTGCGTTACAAGTTCTTTTTTTTTTTTTCTTTTGAGAGGTTTTCACTATAGGGCGCGTGCGCTCACCATACAGACAGAGAGAGACATAGAGACAGAAAGTGAGAAATCACCCCCCAGGGGGGATGGTCACGCCACAATCCCTTCTCCTCCATTCTCCTCTCAGGAACTTGGGCATGCACGCACACGCGCCCGGGATGCAAACTGCGGTCGACTACGTGGGAATCCAGCGACATAGCCATTACACTAACTGCTGGTTCCCAAGTTCTATCTTATCTTGTTCTGTGTATAACATATATTTAGTCTTCTAGGATAATTAAGAATATAAATGGGATGTTTTATATAAGATGATAATGATGTTAATAAATTTTTTAAGAGTGATTTTTGCTATAGGCACTTGCCAGAGAAAGAGAGACAGTGAGACAGAAAGCGAGAAATCAAGAAAGCTGAATGTTTTATCAATTTCTCTCTCTATGCTGGTTTAATTCACTGCTTAACCAGAGGCTCTGGCCTGAATTACTGTTTTCTGGGTCAGTCCGTAAATAGGGGCTTCTACTCTACCCTGGAATGGGACTGGCCACCAGGGATGCGTTCTAGATAAGCATGGTA